AACGTAATTAATATGGGTTTATGTGATGTTTATTAATTAAGAGTATTAATCTAATTGTGTTACTTTTTAAAGTATGAGGCCTAATTTTCCCTTTTTAAAAAGTCAAACCATTACTTGAGAGTGTATTATTCGACAATTTTGAATGTTTTTTAAAGAATAAAATTATGCCCCTTTTTTAGTGGAGATAAAAATTAGATTATTAATAAATTTTGATAAAAGCTTCTGAAATGCATGGTTAAAAAGTTGCGGAACCCATAAAATAGGAGTCAATATTGATTGTCTGACTTTGATTTAAATTAAAATATAATTCAAATCAATACGAAACACACACACACACACACATATCTTATAATTCAAATAATTAATTGATTTAAGGGATAAGATTGAATTTTTTTTTGAGAAACAATCAAAACTCACCAATTTGAGGGTTGAAAAAGCCAGTCAAAATTACATTACACAATAAGAGATCAAGGACAAAGGTGCAAAGACCCCCCAAAGATCAAAACTCATCAATTTGAGAAACGATTAATACTCACCAATTTAAGGGTTAAAAAAGACCGTCAAAATTACACCACACGATAAGAGGTCAGAGCAAAGGTGCAGAGACCCCCCAAAGATCATGGATGGCCATTGATTTTTTTCCCCAAAATAATTATAAAGGCAAAACGCCATTTTCTTTAAAGCATAATACGACGCCAAATTTATTCAGCTGTGCCAAAAGCTTTGCATCTATGCAAATTCTTAAGATTGAAGAACCTACTACCTAGCTGCAAGGGTAAGACGTTAAAAACTTTTAAGGCGGCGAGACGTACTAAGAATAAAATCTTTCTTTAATGTCCCCTTCCTTTAGCTTTTGATTTAGTCTTACGTAAGTCCGTAACAGTGAAAAGAAGCACAAAAAAGGAAAAGAGAATGCTACATCACCATCGTGTTTCTTGCACCTTAATCAACACACATTAGATCGACATTCCATTTCAAGCAGACCTTCCCTTGGCCTTTTCCCCTTCAACGACTATTGAGTGTGTTTGATAGATATTATTTAGAAAAAAATATATTTTATATAGTGATATAATGAGAAATATGTGGTTAAAAATTAAAGAAAAGATATTGGCGTGATGAAAAATATTATTTTATTGAAAAATGTGTGATTAAAAATGAATTATGAAATAATATATTTTGAAAGAATGTTTGTCAAACAGAAGCTTAAGTTCTGTTTCCGTAAATTTTAAGATTGAATATCATCATCCTGTATAAATCAAGTCACAATGGCAACAATGTCTCTATGAGGATGCGAAGAATATTTGAAACTACTCTCAAACAATCACAGAGATTTCGACCTAACCCAACTACCCGTAAGAACGAAGTGGAAGGACAAAAATGGATTCTATGGCTAACGTGAAAGCTCTAGATCTTATTATAATATAAAATAATTTTTTACAATTATCAGTCTACCGCAATCCTCCTCATTTGCTCAAACTTAAAATAAAAACATACGCTAACATATTTCTTTTTCTCTATTTATCCTTGTTTAGTGGCCTTTAATTTAAAAAAAACTAATTCTTTCCATCCATTTTCCAACTTTACAATCAAACGGACCCTTAATGCATGTTATGACGGATGAGCTGACCAAGTGGGAAAGATATTTTGGGCCGGACGGAAACTGGCCTTCATAACTAGGTTCTGTACAATCTATATTTGGATTGGACCACTTGCAACCGATAAAGATTGGGAGAATTACTTGAAAATTTCTTTTAGATTTTGCTTAATGTGGATTTCTGAGAATAACTTGTGAAAAGTGATTGTTTGGAAAGTGTTTAATTAAAAAATAGTGGAAAGTTATGAATTCACGTGTAGAATTATTTTACTTAAAAAAAGAAAAAAATTGATTATTTCTGAAAAAAAATACTTGACCCGGGGATTTGAATAACATAACTTATGAAATCTGAGAACTTCACTTGATCCAAGAGAACTAGAAATCTCAATGAATTTGTAAACCACGTTGAATAAAACTTGCCCTTATAACGAACTTGTAAGGAGAGAAATATGAAAAGTGCTTATAAAGTCATAAGGTAGGCATTTCAAGAATAATATCATATACAATTTCATCATTACATTATATTCTCTTTAGACGCAATGTTTACGATGACCCATTTTCCCCAATCGGATTACTTTTCGAATCCAGTCTTCTATTGCAAATATCCCCTTCAGGTTCCCACATCCACAATAAGGATCCTCCAATTGTTGTTATAAAAAGACATATATAGGTGCACCATGAAGAAGTCGATCGACCTGTAGGGTAGATATGACATGGGTGTTGCCGGAAGTCAAGTTTTCGACCAGATTTCGGTGCGTGTTCAACTGGTTTTGACTCAAAATTTCGGCTGATTCTGGTAAGTTTGAAGCAAGATGTTGGGTGCGAATTGTAGAGGGTGATGAGAGCTTTCCAACGATATGGTGATCCGGTGGTTTGGGTGGTGGCTGGTGGAGTTTTTGGGCTTCGAAAGAGGCGGCTCCATTTCATGTGGCACTGAGAATTTTTGTTTTAATTTAGAACGTAATTAATACGAGTTTATGTGATGTTTAATTAATTAAGAATATTAATCTAATTGGGTTACTTTTTAGAGTATGAGGCCTAATTTTCCCTTTCTAAAAAGTCAAACCATTACTTGAGAGTGTATTATTCGACAATTTTGAATGTTTTTTAAAGAATAAAATTATGCCCCTTTTTTAGTGGAGATAAAAATTAGATTATCAATAAATTTTGATAAAAGCTTCTGAAATGCACGATTCAAAAGTTGCGAAACCCATAAAATGAGTGGTCAATATTGATTGTCTGATTTTGATTTAAATTAAAATCTAATTCAAATCAATACGAAACACACGCGCGCGCGCTCGCAGACACACACACACACACATAAATAATTAATTGATTTAAGGGGTAAGATTGAAATTTTTTTTGAGAAACAATCAAAACTCACCAATTTGAGGGTTCAAAAAGCCAGTCAAAATTACATTACACAATAAGAGATCAAGGACAAAGGTGCAAAGACCCCCCAAAGATCAAAACTCACCAATTTGAGAAACGATTAATACTCACCAATTTAAGGGTTAAAAAAGACTGTCAAAATTACACTACACGATAAGAGGTCAAAGACAAAGGTGCATAGACCCCCCGAAAGATCATTGATGGCCATTGCAATTTTCCCCAAAATAATTATAAAGGCAAAACGTCATTTTCTTTAAAGCATAATACGACGCCAAATTTATTCAGCTGTGCCAAAAGCTTTGCATCTATGCAAATTCTTAAGATTGAAGAACCTACTACCTAGCTGCAAGGGTAAGACGTTAAAAAATTTTAAGGCGGCGAGACGTACTAAGAATAAAATCTTTCTTTAATGTCCCCTTCCTTTAGCTTTTGATTTAGTCTTACGTAAGTCCGTAACAGTGAAAAGATGCACAAAAAAGGAAAAGAGAATGCTACATCACCATCGTGTTTCTTGCACCTTAATCAACACACATTAGATCTACATTCCATTTCAAGCAGACCTTCCCTTGGCCTTTTCCCCTTCAACGACTATTGAGTGTGTTTGATGGATATTATTTAGAAAAAAAATGTATTTTAAATAGCGATATGATGAGAAATATGTGGTTAAAAATTAAAGAAAAAATATTATTTTATTGAAAAATGTGTGATTAAAAATGAATTATGAAATAATGTATTTTGAAAGAATGTGTGTCAAACATGGGCTTAAGTTCTATTTCCGTAAATTTTAAGATTGAATATCATTATCCTATATAAATCAAGTCACAATGGCAACAATGTCTCTATGAGGATGCGAAGAATATTTGAAACTACTCTCAAACCATCACAGAGATTTCGACCCAACTACCCGTAAGAACGAAATGGAAGGACAAAAATGGATTCTATGGCAAACGTGAAAGCTCTAGATCTTATTATAATATAAAATAATTTTTTACGATTATCAGTTTACCGCAATCCTCCTCGTTACTTAAAATAAAACCATACGCTAACATATTTCTTTTTCTCTATTTATCCTTGTTTGGTGGCCTTTAATTTAAAAAAAACTATGTTTCGAATATCATTTTTTGAAGAATATGTGATTAAAATTTAGGGAAAAATTTTGGGTTTGCATGTAAAATATTTTATTTTGTAAATGTATGGTTAAAAATGAGTATGAAAAATAAATCAAGTTAAAGGGGGGTTTTGCTTGCAGTTTCCAACTACTCAATGCCTCCTCTATCAAGTTTTCTTTATTCCCCAACACCAATCTCTATTTCACTATTTTTGTTTCTCTTCAATGCAAGAAAGCTATGATTCTTCGAACTCGTATATAAACTGAATGCAGCAAAATAGATACTCTTCTTCATAGGGACACCATTCATACTTCTCCTGTCTAAGAAATCTTATTCATTATATTGAAGTTCAAGGCACAGAAGAAACTTCACAACTTCATCATGGGAGTAGCTAGAGTTATTACAGGAGATTTACTTACCCGTTCACTGTTCTTTCTCTTCTGCTTTCTTTGTATTTCGGGTAATTTTACGCTTTGCTGAACTTTTGATTTTGAATTATTATCGACTCATTTTATTAATTTATTTCAACTTATCCTCAATAACCACTCACTTGCCTGAATTTATTTTTTTCACCTAAAATGTGACGCGTCCCAAGTTTTTATACCCAAAATATTGGTCTGTTCTAATGTCATCTTCAACTACCTCGATCATTTCAAACAAAAATAAGTGTCCCGGATAATTATATGATGGTTCTCCTATTTCCTTTATCATTTTCCATGCGTTTTTACATTTTCTGTGGCTAGACGTCCCAGTCCAGTTAAAAGCTGGAAAACAAAAAAAATGTAAGGCCTATTATATTTGAAATAATAGAATCTAAGCAAACTTAATTGAGTATTTTTTCTTTTTCATAAAAGAAGAAAAGTCAAAGCAGATTTATAACTCAGAATTTGGCTTCAGATACAAGCATGGCAGAGAAGTCCCCCTCAGAAGCAATCAGAAAAGGCAAAAAATTCAACTATCAAGAAAACCCAATGATCTTTTCGTCTTCAGCATCTACCACCCTGCGAGATACAACAGGAAACATCCCCATTGTCAATCCAACAACACCAGGTACATCTCCTATTGTAACTCCGACGACCCCACAGCCATCAACCACCACTTCACCAACCATAACGCCGCCAACCACCACCGGACCAACCATAACTCCGCCAACCACCGCTGGACCAACCATAATGCCGCCAAACACCTCAGGACCTACCACAACAGCACCAACCACGACTGGACCAACCACAACTACTCCGGCTTCATCCGGCCGTGCTTGGTGTGTTGCGAGTCCATCCGCTTCAGAAACTGCTTTACAGGTGGCTTTGGATTATGCTTGTGGCTATGGAGGTACAGACTGTTCGGCTATTCAATCAGGTGCAAGTTGCTATGATCCGAATACAGTTCGTGACCATGCTTCTTATGCTTTCAATAACTACTACCAGAAGAACTCAGCTCCCACCAGTTGTGCTTTCGGGGGGGTAGCACAGCTCACTAACACTGATCCAAGTAAGACATTATATTCAATTATCTCAGCTTGAAAATTCTGTTAAGATCCTTGTGCTTATTGATTATGTGCTAGTGTTGACAATTGACATGACCGACTCCTAGACTACTCTCACTCAAATTACTTGCATTTGCATCATAAACGAATAGAAGGAAAGGATAAATACTTCAAACTGAATGAAAAGCACTCAGGGCATGTTTGGTAATGCACTAGTGGATTGGACACGACAGCGTATAAAAATTTCAACTTCTTTTACTTCTACCCAGTAATGTTTCATCCATCACCCCAAACACCTCATAAACGTTATCACATTGCTGCAGGTCGTGAGAATTGCCACTATGCTTCATCCACTACCACCCCAACAACGCCCACAACTCCAACGATGCCCACAACTCCAACTATGCCCACAACTCCAATAACACCACCCAGGTAAATGTACCAATCAACTTCAGTCTCATAACTCTATCAATAAAGGCAGTAAATTAATACATTTATAATTGTTATTACAGCACAACTTCACCTGTCAATCCTTACATGCCTGGGGGTGGAACTGTCTCTGGTACAGAACCAACAGGTTACGATAATGGTTTGACACCAATAGGCAGCCCAAGTTCAGCAAAGACAACATCATACAGCCTACTGCTGCTCATTACCATGAAGTGTGTCCTACTATCAATTGCTACAGCAATTTATTCATAAACAACTCGATGAGAACTTATGGTTACTATCTCCCCAATGAGATGGAAATTCCTTGTCTGCCTCCGTGTTACGCAAAATTTTGAGGCAGGGAGATGCCAATAGAAATAAATCTCAAGGCATTCACCATTGAGTCATTTTGATACACAAACTTATAGATCAAGTAGCCAGGGGATAATGATGAAGCACATTATAATGTAGTTGGTTATTTATAGCTCTACTTCCGTAGTCAATAAGGGAATGTTTCTTACCTAGTATTTGACAACAATGTAAAATACAAGAGCTTAGTTACTTATTCTTCATTATTCCTCCTTGGTATTGTCTAATGCAGTGAACCAAACTTGTGTTTCAGACGAGAATATCTGGTTTTAAGGCTATATATAGAAGTGCTAATGCTACAACCAATTAGAAGTGCTAATGCTACAACCGTTTGGTAGAGATTAAAATCGGATTAAAATTGAGAAATTAGCCGTTATTGTTGACTTTTATTAGACGAGTGGGGCCCAATAACGACTATATTTTCAATTTTAATTGGATTTTAATCGGTACCAAACGGGCTCTAGATGTGCTTCCAATGCCAATAAAAGGTAACCAATCCGATAGTATTTAACATCCAAAAAACTACCAAATAAAATGCGTCTCATGCCGAAATATCACGAGTACTCCCTTGTGCTAACACCCTTCAATACTAGATATACTTCACCTATTTTAAAATATCAAATTTGTGCTCTCTGTTGGCCTTGTAAGTCCATCATGACACAATAAATAATTGCTATTTGCTAGACCATTTGAAAACTTTTATAATAACTTTGCTGTACGGACACTTTAATTAGGGTAGCGTATTCATGTCCGACACGTGTCCGCTTGTTGGATGCTAACACTCCTCGAACACTCTACCATAATTATTATTATTTTTTTAAATTAAAAATATTATATATTTTTAACTTAAAATTATTAGTAAATAACAAATATATACTCATGTTCAACTCATGTCTGCGCGTTGGATACTATAACTTGTCAGACACTCTACCATGATTATTATTTTTTATTAAATATATATTTTTAACTCAGAGTTATTAATAAATAACAAATATGTACTCATATTTAAAAGATTTCAATAAGAAAAATTAAAAATAAATATAAAACTAAATTTATACTATATAAATAAAGAATTTTAAAGAATTGAGTGTCAGCGATGTGTCTTGTCGGTATTTTTTATGAAAAATCGTAGCGTGTTGGACACACGTATTCGTGTCGGTACATCATTTGATAATAATGTAACCTAGGAAATTATGCTATTTATAGACTAGATTTACAAGAAGTATTCTGGTTGTTATTTAGCTCTCGTTTGGCCCCATTATTCTCCATTAAATTATAATTTATTTTTTCTCTCTTTTTATCAATCGCACATTCTCCAATAAAATTATATTACACGTAAACCAATTTATATTTTATATAAAGATAAAAAAAATGTTTCTTACTACAAATTTTAAATAAGGCGTTTCAAGACTCATTTAAAAGACGTGGACAAGATAGAGCATAACAAGTTGCCTTTCAGTATACAAATAATTGAATTGCCTGTCGATTACAGACTAGCATACACGAGCTGATTCGTTAAAAAAGGGTAAATTTAAGTTCTGCCAAGTGAAACAGCGAATGCTTTTTTCTGCCAAGTGAGTCTATCTTTTTCACGAAGTTTTTAATATCTAAAGTAGCTGCACGCGCACACAGATATACATAAACATTACAGCTTCTGAAGGCAGTACCCAAATAGTCAACTGTGGGCTGATTAAAGTAATTTATTGTGTTCAAAGCTTTACAAAGACGTGAATGATAGAATTTGGGGTGAGTAATAGCTGAATAATTTAAAGATAGAAATGTTGCAATATTATACACAATCAGAACTCTGATAAAAAAGATATGGATGACAACATTTTTTGCGGCTTCAAATGAAATTACAGAGCTCGGAATCGTCCTATCCACTTTTAAGATTACAAATGTTAGGGAAATCGCAAGACTTGGTTACTTCACTAAATTTAGAGAAAATAAACAAGAAATTTAAACCAAATATCGTTCCCGATGGCAGCCAAAACACTATGTATCTTCATACGACCTGCAGATAAAGGAGCATAAAGATTGTCATGAGCAGAGAATTTCAATGACAGTAGCATAACCTTCTCTTCCTGAATCTTATAAGTCTAATCCTTTTCATAATCATGCAGTTGTAACCTGAGCCTATTACCTACAAGTATAAAAATTCCCTACGCAAAATCACAAGGTTTCCACTGAACCAACTCTTGATCCGCAAGGTACCAAAAGAATGTCCCCAAAATAACAAGCTTCATTTTCCACCAGATTAGCTTTGAATCCAGTAGCTTGGATCACAATCTCAACCGTCACCATCCTGGAAATTAAAAGAAAGATAGCAATAGTTTACTTGATCGACGACACTACTAAACAGCTCTCTGATGCTTTAAATAGTCAAATATATGTCTATAAAACTGTAAGTTGAAGAACTGTAACAACTTCTGTTTCACAGATAAAAAACCTAATCCCATGAACTGAAGTACAAAGAAAATACAAGACCTTGCTTTCATGAGATGTAGGTTTGCCACCGAAACCCTTTCACAAGCCTTTCTTCCTCATTTTACATTCCAGGACATAATACTCTTCTCTCCATAATAAGAGAGAAGTTCTAAGCCACTCAAAAAAAATTCTGAATGGCCTAAGGTCTACAGGAGAGATTTTCCAACTCCTTCCAATTGCATTTCATGTATTGCTTATTTTCGGCGTAACATCTAGATGATTGCATGTAATCTACATTCCTTACATACCACAAGATGCCAAAAACATTGATCAGTATCATACCTTATCTTGCAGCAGCCAACTAGAATACAAAATGAAAATTAGTTTCCTAATTAACGTGACACCTCCATAATTTTCCCCGTGCTTATTCTTGAAAATCCCACAAAAAAGAAAAAGGAACAAAACAAAAGTTCATTGCATATCTAAGAGAATCTTCTATAATAGTAAGCCTACGTTTGGTCCATGTTTATAAACACCCAATCCAATTTTTATCCACACATTTCGAAGGATTCACCACTCATTTCTATCAATTGATAATTTAAACCATTTATAAACACTTCTCAAACGTTCTCTAACTTTCCAACTAAAGATCATATTTACTTCATTTGATCTAAGATTTATAAGTCCACGGGCACAATTTGTCAATAAGATGCTATTTTAGCTAGTACAACATATTTCTTGTGTACATAATGGTTATCAAAATGATAGGAACAATTGATATAGCTGCAGCCTGCAGGAATATTGACAAAACAACAAACCATCATAATAGAAGTTGTAATGAGTGACTAGATCCTCCAATCATGTGAAAATCAAAATATCATTGAAAAGTTATGCATCAGTTTTTATCACCATAAAGAAGTAGAACTGTAAATTCCATAACTGAAATACAAGGGCAATAAATCATCAACATTAGGAGAAACACTAAATACTATATAAACCAAGGATAGCATTCAGCCTCATTAGAAGTAGAAAGGATGTTTATGGAGCATGGAATATTTAATTTAGTTTACAAATGAGTGGAGCTATATTGCATTCTAATAAGCCTTGTAAAGATTTACTTCAAGCTAAAGTTTTGCATTTTCGACAGACCTGTTTTTAACTAGTTGACATTGATGATACAAGTGTCGGATTTTCTTCTGACGCATTTTGTTCTGTGTTTTTCCTAAACCACAAAAGGGTATTTTCTGTCTAATATTTTGGTAGGGGCGAAGCTGAAAAGGACACTATGTTGGGTATTACACAAAACAATTTCAGTATATTTTATGCTTGGCAACAAGTATCATGAAACTTTGGCTCAACATAACATACATGGTGACACCAAATTTTCTGCACTCAATTATCAACAAACTTATTCTAACATGATTCTTCCATCGGTAATTTATAAAGTTATATTAACCGGATTGGTTTCCAAATCTCAGCTTATAATGGTTACTGATTTAAGTATCAACGCGAACACTCGCCACTTCATAGTATATGTAACTAACTGAATAATGCCCTTAAAAAATATTACAATAGCTCCACAGCTGCAATGAATGCTTAATTCCAACCTTGTTTGTTCTAAGGTATGTTTATAGAGTCATGAAAGCTCACAAATATTACATGTATTAGTAGTGAAAAGTTGAAGATACGTTGCATGCCACGGGGATTGAAATAAACACAAATATTATCACAATTTATTTCACAAAAATAAAAAATAGAAGAAACACTCGAACATCTATGGCTGTACAATTCAAACCGAAATAACCTTTTGGTCACTACCTGCTGCAACAAATTAGCCTAAACAACTAACAATCAGCAATACTTAATAACGACAAGAAACTAGCAATAAAGCTGACTGAACAAGGTGACACCATTTTATTGTATAGACAATTATATCAAGGCTCAAGGAGGTATAAACAACGAGAATCTAAAATCAGCTAGGGTTTTGCTTTAAATAACATGGAGACAAAAGGAGCAATTCAAGAATTACAACTGAGAGACAAGGAGCTCTTATTCCTTGTTACCGAATTTCCTAGCAATTATGGGCCGAACATCATTAGCATCAACCAAAGTCTCCAAGAATGGAAGTAGTGAAATAAGTGCAGTGTCCGCTGGGTCGTCAAACCAACTCTTAATAGGAATGCCATTATTCACTTGCAAACTGAAAACCTGAAAACAACCAAAGATATTAACTTTCAATATCAAGGAATATGGTTTGAGTTGCAGGCAGGAAATATTTTTTAGCCGTCTACTATTAATTAAACTAGGTTTTCTACGATGCACGTACAACTGGAAGCACGGCCTTTGAATCTGATTTAGATGAAGCAAGTAGCACTTACAAATCTGTTTTCTTAGCCAACGGGGAGGTAATAATCTTAAATTTTCATAGGACTCTGCCTGAAGTCTCCCTCCATCCACACCTCCCATTATCATTTATCACAGAAAATAATGCTCCAGCTTAGTTAGAGGTGGTTTTATCACAAAATATTTCGAACACACATTTTATAACACACCACAATCACATTTAGCAACCTCTTTTGACAAGAGGGATAAGTTGACTCAATATCCTTCATCTTACGACTAATAGTGTTGATCTATAACACGAAAGATGTATCTTGTAAATCGAAGGCAATAAGACAAATTTTCTACCTGTGGAGAATTATCAATAATGGCAACCTTTGCAAGATCAACACCCAAAACTGTCAAGTCTTTCATGTAACTTCCTTCTGCAAATATGCAAGATTCACGATATGCTCGTTTTGAAATAAGCTTTCCGTCTGGATCCAGAATGTCTAGAAGTTGTTTCGCATAGATGCTTTGACTAGCAGTGAACACCACCATTTCAAACATCTCAGCAACTCTTTCCAAGAACATCCGGAGGTGAGGCCTATGCTTCACATACACAATATGCTCTTTCATGTTAAAGAAAACAGGAAATGTGAAGTCTGCATCACTACAGAATTCGAGGGTAGAATGCACAAGTGTTTCTGTAGACATAAAAGCAAAGTTATACTGTTAGAGAACTCATTGAACGATGCTCTTAAGTCTTAATAGTAGGTCAAACACCTACTAGTATATGAAATAAGTTCAAAACACCAACACAAAGCTTAGAAACATGAATATTTCCCCAAAAAAAGAAGCAGCTGTGAGATGTCAGGGGCACGCTTCATGCTGAGGAGCTGTATACCTTTTCAGGTCAATTATCTTAGTTTATGTCCAAACAAGAAAAACCACCTCATGGAAGCTGCACAAAATTACCTAACCTCCCATTGAATTACCATAATACTATGTCCTTTCCTAGGAGAACAAATCAGGATAACTATCTAAAAAGTAATATCAAATGACCCAATTAATACTTTATCATGAAATCTTTAAATAGGACGTAGTGGAATAGTTATATAGGACAAAAATTGCCAACAATACCTGGGGCATTATGTACTTACCATCCAAGTCGAGAACTAATGTGATCTGTTTAGCTTTTTGCTTTTCTTTGGGAACATTGGTGTTCGGCAATGTTGATGTTGCATCCAGCTGGTCAGGGAGATTTCTGATATAAACCTGTGGATCAAAGCAATCTGCTGGGTCGTAGTTGGGGTAGATATTAATGTCAGTATCTTGGTTGGAGGATCTCAGTTGATGAATTGCCAAATATAAGCTTGAATCCTTGACATCACCAATGGTTTCTCCTGATGATTTGCCATCATGGTCATACCTAGTTTCCAAAGTATTCTCGAGAAGAGGCAATACCATGTAGTCCTCAGCCAAATCACAAAATACATTTGACTCTTCACATTTGTAATCAGGTAAGAATATCGAATCAACGTTATTATCATATGTCAAATTTCTATCAATAGGCAATCCAGAAAAAATCTTGTCAGAGATGTAGAAATCCGATAAATTGAAATCTTGATGCTCAGAAGACTTGCTGCTGCTGGAGTGGCACAGAGAGATGGTCACTACCTACAGAGAAATAAACAGCTTCAGAACTATGGTCAGCTCCAAATTCTTTAGGTCCTCTAAGCTCATAGTGCATATCAATGTTGTTATGTAGTGAATGTTTTTACAGGCAATACCGAACGCATAAAAGAGAGACACCAAGAAACTCTAAATTGCGAAAGAAGTTATCTCAAGCATAGTAGAGTAGCCATCTTTCGATGTCACGGTTATTCCATATGCACAAAGAATGGAGATGTAAAGAACCTTTTTCTACACATTCCTGTCTTAAGAAGATTCATTGTACACCAATACAGCATCTTTAAGTTGATGATCTTCTGAACAAAATAGAACGTCTGCATACAAACTTCCAGACGCTGTGTTTTATTGAAGCAGAAGTTTACTGTCAAGGGCTCAATTACCACTAAAACACCACTTTGCGGTTGACCAACGCCTAAAAATGAATCAAAACTAACCAAGTACCAATAGGAGAAGCAAAATTTAATATTCCCTTTCATTTAAAACAAGCTACGAAAGCTAAATTATGCAAAATCATCACCAGCATGTAAATCTAAGTGTGCATCTCCTGTAACTCTTTACTGCTTTTCCCCATATAAATATTTGGACAGATTTGCATAAATTTTCCTTGTAAAAGATTGAGCATGTTACAGTTTTCTGCTATAAGTAGTGTGCCATAGGATGTATTAGTTATCTGTTATATCGAATGATAAGATAAACTGTTTAGAATAGGTAGGAGAAGTTTTACTGTTTTATACAAACTATAGAGAAAATTTTAAAAAGATTCTCTCAGATTTTTAGCCCCATCCAAACCAAAATGAGAAAAATAAATAAAATGTGGGAAATGAGATATTGCCATACTGGAACTACATCACTTACCAGCCTGATCATTATTTATCACAGTTGCAACTTCTTCTGAATTTTGAGAAACTCTGGCTTGAGAGAGAGGACTCTTAGATATCATGCTCGACTTTCGGCATACGCGGAGACCATTTCTTTCTCTTAAACACCCTGTGGCTGAATTGGTTTTCATTTTTAGTGATGGCATTTGATCTGTGCTTGTGATGTCTCACAGTATAGCTTTGAGAACATTAGCAGGGAACAAACCTCTTCAAAGTACCAGATCAACCACAGGAGACTACACCAAAAACATTTTAACCAGAAAAAAGTAGTAAAACAAAAAGAAATTCAGCAACTAGATGAAAATACAAATTAAAATGAAATCATTAACACAGAAAATAAACTGTAATGTAGGTTTTATAAGTACAGCTTCAAAGCTAATCATAGTAATAGTTCCAGAAAATTATATTAGAAATCATTAGCCAGCATTAAATCTGATTATCCTTTTCAGATTCTGAACTTATGTGTTAAAAAAGGTAGAATTAGCTATTACACAAAAACTTTAAATAGAAAGAAAATTTATTGAAATCAAGTTTTCCAAATTTGAAAAAGTGACCAGGTTAAATGAAATTGGCTGTGTAATTGCTTAATAGATTTCATATAGAAATTCTAATTGCTCCATTCCTTTTCCCTCTTCTCTTCCACAGGAACTTCACACATACTAGTAATTTCCAGTGACGGAGCCACATAGGGGGAAGGCGGTGGCAACTGTCCCTGCAACATTTTTAATTTTTTCTTGATTTCTATGGTTTTGATACAGAATTTTTTTAATATATACATAGTACGTATATATTTTGCCCCTACAACATTTTTTTGCCCCCCACCCCCAATATGAAAATCCTGGCTCCGCCACTAATTTCATCCAAGAAGAACCACTACGTATATATGCTCATCTCCAGGATATGACACTCATTTATTCATGATACCAAAATTTGCTTGGATTTCCTAGCAAAGTCCAGAAAACAAACACTTTACAAAAAAAGGCTCCTTCCGTGGTGGATCTCCTATCTTTTATTCACCTGGTACTTAAATATGTCAAGTAAATATTTAGACGTGCTAAAAGGAGAACACAGGCTACAAAAACAAAAATTTATCTCATGCTAAAGTAATCTAAGCCTCTATTTTTGCCCCATTTTTTCTAAAATTCATTTTCAACCACAAATTTTCTCATAAAATAATTTTACACATAAATGATAAACCCAGAATTTTTCCCTATTTTTTAATGACACGTCCTCAAAAAATCCCAATTCCAAAACACAATTCCGACAAAAAAATGGGGCTCAAACAGGAGCTAAGTTGTTTGGTACTCGGTATGTTAGACTATCTTATTCAATAATATGTCTTTTTCCTCAACTCACTAGAGAGATGGCAATCGAACCCAATAAAAAACAAGGGAATCAAAATTTAGGTGACACCACAAAGAGCAGCATCTTTTCCAATCATTTGAAAAGATGATGCAAACAGATATTCCCCTGTTCTTATAATTTATTTATGAATTGTGGCCTCAAGTAGCCATCTTGAACCAAATTCGTTTTCCTTGGCACAACAGAACATCATCAAAATGTAATCTTTACGCTAAACACTAAATCCTTGATCCTTCCATAAACAATCATCAACCAAGTGGGCAAGCATACAGAAGGCCATCCAAACCTTCCAAAAAAAGGAAAATTTAACAGAACTAAAAAACTTCTTGAGTAAGAAATCACTGTATATACATAAAACATCTTGTATTTGTTGCGTAAATGTTACATCTATATAACACTTACATCTTAAAATCAACGGTTAAAACAAAAATATATATAAAATCAAGACGAGACACGATAGACTCTACCAAAGCACACTTAAAATTGAATCCAAATCATAATATCACCAGCTTTCTTCCTAAAAATCCTACATAATTCAAGTAACCCCAACGAGATCGATGTCAACTCCAATCAAGCACTTCAGTTAATCGTACAACAGTTCATGATTAACTTACAGAACATTAATAATTATATATAAACGTTACACAATTTACATTCAGTGCCCTTAACACACATTTAAAAAAACCCCAAGAACTAAAACAACATACCTGAACTCAACCAGATGCAAAAGAAGCTCTCTTATCGACTAAACGTGCACATATATACATTTATCATATCTACTTTATAGACTCATACAATCTATTATCTACGTAAATAGGCATCTAATTATAAGAACAATTATCAGTAGACGAATATACTATGAGGATTATGATGCGAGTTATAAATACAATCAGTTTATCTCTATACCTGTGGAAATAGTCCTCTCTTTCGAGCTCGCTCTCTCCAACGAGCTTTTCGGTCTCTGTGTGTGTATTTGTAGACAGTTTGGTGGGCAACTCCTCTCCGGTTTGCCTTGTAACAAAGTTAAAGTTCAAGCCTTGGCGGTTGTACATAGGCTTATTTGTCACATATATACAAGTTTATAATGGAGTCGAGGGGATTGAATGTAGACGATCTGAGCCCAACACATGTTGCAGTTTTTGGAGGACAAGTGGCCGGCTGGGATTGAGTGTTGTGGAAAGTGGGACCGCGACGAACCTGTTTGGGCTCCATTAATGTGTTTTTTTTTGGGAAAAAAAAATGTATTTTAATTTTAGAATAGTAATTTTTTGAAGAAATGAGTGAAAAAATAAAATTGGATTTACACGCCCGTTTGGCCCATCATTCCACTAATAAGAGGAATAATAATTTTTTGAGGAAATTATAGGAACTCAGACATTTAGAGATCCCATTTCATAAATCAGATGTCTAATTTACTATTTCAAATGTCAGATGTTTTGTTAAATTAATCATACTCAATTTCAAACCCTAATTATTTTACTTTCTCTCCCCTCTCTATCTATCCTTGCCTCCACCACCTCGCCGGCACCACAACCGCTGTTCTCTATCTATTATCACATCTCACCTCTCTTCACCGCGAAGCCACCTGAGGGCGCCAGAGTGTAGCCATGCGAAGTTGTGGGAGTGAAGCTGCACGAAGCAGCCGGACAACACCTTCGCCATCACAGGTCGCTTCGGGGGCCAAGCTGCGCGGCGGTGTTTCCGCCGCTCTTCCTCTTCCTCTCCTCTTTTCTCCCTCCTCCCCAATATTGGTGGGGGTTCGGGACGGGGGTGGGGTGTTTGGTGTATATGACCGACATTTGGTTCATTGTGACTCGTTATTAATCCGTGACCTTAAATTTCGATAATTTGTGACCAAGAAATTTGGAAATATGTGGCCTATCGATGAACTGTGATCTATAACTTTTTAATCCGTGACCAATGAATTAAATTGTGACGTATAAAATTTTTAATTTGTGATTTCAAAATAATTTGTAACCTATAAAATTTCTGATTTGTGACCGTAAAATAATTTGTGACATTTCAAATTTTGATTTCTAACCGATGAATAAATTGTGACCTATAAAATTTTGGAATTGTGACCGTAAAATAATTTGTGACCTATAAAATTTTTGATTTGTAACCATAAATAATTTGTGACGTTTCAATTTTTGATTTGTAACCGATAAATAAATTGTGACCTATAAAATTTTGGAATTTTGATCGTAAAATAATTTGTGACTTATAAAATTTCTGATCTGTGACGTTTCAATTTTTTATTTGTGACTGATGAAAAAATTGTGATCTATAAAATTTTTGAATTGTGATCATAAAATAATTTGTGATCAATTATATGGAATTTGTGACCAAATTATATGAAATTGTGATCTTAATATATGTAATTAATAAAATATATGTTTAATTAATTAATTTATAAATAAAATTTAAAAAAATATGAGATTTGAAATTTTAAACCTTAAAAATTTTGAAATATGAAATTTTAAACATTGTCTCTTAAATTAGAAATGTGTGAAATTTAACCTATTAAACCTTAAAAAATCTGAGATTTCAAATTTGAAATTGATAAAATTAAACCTCTTAATTATGAAAATTTCCCTATTTTTTTTGGAGAATATATAGTTAAAAAGGAAAGAAAAGTTTTTGGGTTTACGTGTAATATTATTTTATTGAAGAATGTGTGATTGAGATAAAAAGATAAAAACAATTTATAATTTAATGGTGCCCAAACGGGTTTATGGAAAAATGTGTTGTTGAAAATGAATTTAAAAAATATATATTATAGAAATAATGGAGCCCAAACAAGGGAGAAACGTGAACATGGAAAAGGAAGGGTCCATTTGGCATATCTTTTGAAAAGTTAAAAAAAAAAAACTTGAGATTCAAAAACAGTTTTGAGTCCAATTGGCTAATTTTATAAAATTATTTTTATTAATTAGAAGAGTTTGTAAAGAAAGTTGGTTTAATGCGACTTCCATTAAAAGAACTTCTGAAATATGAAGTATTTTCAAAAATTAATTTTAAAACAAAAATTAAAGAAACTTTTCCCAAAAACTCCTCAAAAGCTAACATCAAACGAGTCCGAATAGTCACATGAAAAATTGCTCCAGGGTGAAGCGTAGCTCACACGCTTCTCGAGTTGTAGCTTGTCAAAAAAATGAATAAGTCTTAATGTACACTCCTGTGTACATTAAAACTTACACTCCTCTCACAATGGAGTGTGGGGTCCGTGATTTTTTAAATTGCGGGCCCCCCACCATTGTGAGAGGAGTGTAATGCACGATGTACACCCAAGAGTGTACATCAAGCATCTCTCCAAAAGAATATGCTTTCTGTACATTTAAATATGTATTTACGTTTTAATAATTATTTTGTTACTTATTTACTAGAAAAAATATGATTGAATTTGTTTTAGCCCCTGTTTCGTGTAGAATAAATCATTTTTCTTAATATAAAAATTGCAAAAAATATATGGTTAAAAATTTATGAATTCCATAAAATATACAATTAAAATTAATTATTGCCTTTGATTTGAGATTTTATTTGTATTTTAATACAAACCAAATAGGGGCATAATTTGATTACTTCAACTTTTATTTTTACTTTTTTAATTTGAACATTTCATATGTAGTCGTGAATAAACTAATTGCCATTCAGCTAATGAAATTCACGGTATGCCAATCATTTAGCCCTTGTTTGATTAAGATAAAAATAAAATTTTTAATATATTTTGATAAAAATTAATGAAATGTGTGATTAAAAATTGTGAGATCTAAGAAATATATTGTTAAAATTAATTGTTAACTTGATTTAGATTTTAATTCACTTTCGTGGCTGAACCATTTAGGGGCTTAACATTCAAATGGACGAATTTATGCACGTAAACCATAAGTTGAGGATGTCCATGCTAAGAAAAAAAAGTTAACACTAAAGCCGACCAAAGACTATAGAATAGGGACCGTTGGTGCCAAATACTCAAAAAATCAATCGCTACGGGGCCCACAGTCATCCTATGTCTCCTAGTACGAGTCGCGCGACAACAAAAGGAATGATGCTGGGTTGACAATGGGGGGACGGATTTTTTTTCTTTTTTAATTCACATGAGTCCCGTTTAATTCCATCACAACGTGAGAGGATATCAACGAAAGTGTCAAATTTTTTCCGATGAAATGGTTTAATTGCAACAAAAGACACCGTAGTCCTCTTCTGTACCAGATTATTATAAGATACTTATACCATTACGTGTAAGAAATATGGGATATATAAAACTCACAAGGTGGTGAAGGAGTCTGCTGCTGTACGAGAGACAAAAACAGGCAAACAGCAGTTATATCCATCATTAAACAGCGCCACAGAAAACCACCGTAAAACCTACGTTTTTTGGCGAAAAAACAGCTTAAAACTAACATTTTGCATCTTTTCAAGCTTAGCACAACATGGCCGAAGCAGCTGCTAGCAGCATGAACGCGGAGAAAGCTACGGCGCAGTTCCGTACTGATGCAAGGCTCATGGATGAGTTTGAGAACTCCGGCGAGTCTGGTAAATATTTTAACTACTCAAAATCAGTTATTCATGCACCACAGGGCTTGAGTACCGAAGAACAAATTACTGCTTATTTATCAAGTATTCAAAGGGGTGGCCTTGTGCAATCCTTTGGCTGTATGCTTGCAATTGAAGAGTCCACTTTCGAAATCATAGCTTATAGTGAGAATTGCTTTGATATGTTGGATTTAAATGATCTTGTTGTGGTTGATTCAAAAGAGTTGATGGGTCTGATTGGAATTGATGCAAGAACCCTTTTCACCCCTTCTTCAAGTTCCTCACTGGTGAAAGCAGCAGCTTCCAGGGAGATTTCGTTGTGGAACCCAATTTGGGTTCAATCTAGGGCTACACACAAGCCATTTTATGCCATACTTCATAAAATTGATGTAGGAATTGTGATTGATTTGGAGCCTGCTCACTCTGGTGATCCTGAATTGTTGCATTCTGGTGAAGTGCAGTCCCAAAAACTAGCCGTTAAGGCGATTTCTAGACTGCAGTCTCTCCCTGGGGGAGATATAGGGATTTTGTGTGACGCGGTGGTAGAAGATGTTCAGAAGCTAACGGGGTACGATAGGGTTATGGTCTACAGATTCCACGATGATGATCATGGTGAGATTGTGTCGGAAATGAGAAGGTCTGACTTAGAGCCCTATTTGGGCTTGCACTATCCAGCGACAGATATACCACAAGTCGCACGATTCTTGTTCAAGCAGAATCGAGTTAGGATGATTTACGATTGCCATTCCCAGCCTGTTAAGATAATTCAAACTGAAGAATTGAAGCAGCCTCTTTGTTTGGTTAATTCAACTCTTCGAGCGACCCACGGATGTCATATGCAGTACATGGCTAATATGCAGTCTATTGCCTCATTGGTGATGGCAGTTCTTGTCAATGATAGAGATTCAATGAGGCTATGGGGATTGGTAGCATGCCACCACACTTCAGCACGCCATATCGCTTTCCCCCTTCGGCATGCATGCGAGTTCCTAATGCAGGCATTTGGGCTGCAGATTTATATGGAGCTCCAATTGGCATCACTGGAGGAAGAGAGGAAAACTCACCGGACTCAAACCTTATTATGTGATATGCTTCTCCGGGATATTCCATTGGGCATTGTGACTCGGTCTCCTAGTGTCATTAATCTTGTAAAGTGTGATGGTGCTGCATTATATTATGGTGGGGAATGTTGGTTGCTTGGTGTCACTCCAACTGAGGTACAACTTAAGGATATTGTAAAATGGCTTCTAGATACTCATGGGGACTCGATCGGATTAAGTACAGATAGTCTTGCCGGTGCTGGCTATCCTAGTGCTCATCTTCTGGGTGATGCAGTTTGTGGCATGGCGATGGCTCGAATCAGAAGTAGTAGTTTGCTTTGCCCCTCTCCATCTGATTTTTTGTTTTGGTTCAGGACCCATTCAGCAAGGGAAATCAGGTGGGGAGGGGAGAAGCATTGCCAAGCAGACAGGGATGATGGAAGCAAACTGCACCCCAGATCTTCATTCAAGGTCTTTCTCGAGGTAGTCAAAAGCCGAAGTTTGCCATGGGAGGCTTCAGAGATTAATGCCATTCGCTCTTTGCAGCTCATGATTAGACATTCTTTTCAGGAGTCTGAAGACTCTGGTGCTAAACCTGTTATGTATTCTCAACCGAATGATTATGATAGCCTGAAGCTGGATGAACTTAGTTCTGTGGCAGCTGAAATGGTGCGATTGATAGAGACTGCTAGTGCTCCAATTTTTGGGGTCAATTCATCCGGTTTCATCAATGGGTGGAATGCTAAAATGATTGAATTAACAGGATTACAAGCTACCGACGCTATGGGGAAGTCTCTAGTTAATGAGATCGTTCACGAAGATTCACGTGTAGTTGTCGAAAGTGTTCTGCACAGAGCTATGGAAGGTAAATTCATATGACACAAGGGTAAATCTTCGTGTGTCTAAGGGTAGTCTTTGTTTTGTTTTCAAATCTTCATTTGTTTAGACATTTTATCGCATATGCAAAAATATAAATAAAAGATAAGACTTCAAAAAATATGAAAAAAATTTAGATACGTGTAGCAAACTGTTTCTGCATACAGTTAATGCACTTTGAATTCAGGTGAGGAGGACAAAAATGTTGAATTGAAGATCCTGAGGTTTGGGATGCATGTACCAAACTCTGTCATGTACCTTCTGGTTAATGCATGCAAGAACACGGACTGCAAAGGTGATGTTGTTGGAGCGTGCTTCGTGGGTCAAGATGTTACACGTGAGAAAATTTTGATGGATAAATTCACCCACCTGCAAGCGGATTTTAAGGCTATCGTACAAAGTCTAAATCCACTAATTCCACCGATATTTGCTTCTGACGAGAATGCATACTGTACTGAGTGGAATGCAGCCATGGAAAAACTAACTGGTTGGATGAGGCATGAGATTCTTGGAAAGATGCTTCCTGGGGAAATTTTTGGAAATTTTTGTCAGCTTAAATGTCAAGACTCACTCGCTGAATTTATGAATCTTGTGCACCGAGCAATTAGTGGCCATGATGTTGAAAATCTTCCTTTTGGTTTTTTTGATAAGAAAGGGATTTTTGTGAAGGTTCTCTTGACAGCAAACAAGATAACAGAAGAGGGAGGCAATATAATTGGTTGTTTCTTCTTCTTGCAGACTCTAGGGATTAACCAAAAGCAGTACTTAGGAAATAAGCAAGAGGAAGAAGGAACTGTTTCAAAACTTGAAGAATTGGCTTACATTCGGCAAGGGATAAAAAATCCCTTGAATGGAATCCGTTTCATCCACCAACTCCTAGAAGCTTCAGCTATTTCAAACAGTCAGAAACAATTTCTAGAGACTAGTGACGCTTGTGAGAGACAGATACTCTCTATAATCGACGTAGTGCAATTTGATAATTTAGAAGAGGGGTAAGCTATATTTGATGATTACTATACGAATTCTTCCAAAACAGAAGTAGATTACATCCCAGCCATTTTTTCTCTTGCTGCTGAAATTAATTATCTTATTAATCCATTTAAAATGGTTTCTGAAATCATCTTTAGTTGATTCATAAAATTGTTAATAATTTTTTCCTTTAACTTTCATGACATATATGGTCAATTTGTCTAATGACAATAATGAGCAAACTCACACGAAAATGAGCCATTACTCTATTTTGACATTTTGGCTTGATCTTACTGTGTTTTCATTTTCATTAAAAGGCTTTCTAGCATTTGATACTTATCCTGATTCCAGCAGCAGGTTGGAGCTAAAGATGGAAGAGTTTATTTTGGGAGATCTCATAGATGCTATTGTTTGTCAAATTATGATTCCGTTGAAGCAAAAAAAATTGCAACTAGTACATGATATCTCTGATGAAAATAAGTCTCTTTGCTCATACGGGGACCGGATGAAGCTTCAGCTCATTTTTGCCAATTTCTTTCATAGCATAGTGCAATATGCACCTTCTCCTGATGGTTGGGTGGAAATTAAGGCGTGCCCTGGATTGAAGCTAATACAAAATGGAAATGAATTTGTTCATCTACAGTTCAGGTACTATAAAGCTAAATAAATTGTTGTAGATGTTGGCCATATTGTATTTGTACATAATTTTGAGCTCAATTGCTTAAGTAATTTTGTGTACCTATGTTCCATTATGACTGTTATTGCACATGTATATTATAAATTAAAACATTTTTGGAAAAGTTTATCATGTTAATTGCTTCTTATTTGGATACATGTCATACTAATTTTAAACTGATTGAGTTTCATGAAATTTTGTCCCATTGTTTCAAATAGTTATTTGAAGATACCAAAGGTTTAGAACATAGTCTGAGAATGGTTGCTTACGTCTCTTAGCTCATGTTGTGACCTTGAATTCAGTGATAACTGTATTTGAACTCGTGATATTTGAAGGAAATATTCTTGTGGCACTTCATATGCCACCTTTATAAAAGTGCTTTAGGGGTAAGTGAAACTTCTAGTTGTATTCTGCTCTTTGTGTAGAAGTATAGAGACTTAGAATTCCATCGTAAAGGATCAACATTTGTAAAAAGAGTAACACGGGCCTTATATATTGTATGTTTGTTTTATCTTTATTCAATGTGGAATTTACCCCTAACTTAATTCAATTGCTCGTTTGAGCTTTAAATTGATTGATTTGCTCGTTTAACTTTAATGGGCTTTGATACTATGCTCATGTTTGGCCCCCATTAAATTTGAATTCATTTTTCTTTCTCTCTCTTTTCTTATCAATCACACATTCCTTCAATAAAATAATATTACACATAAACCCAAAAATTCTCCTTACTTTTTAACCATACATTCTTCCAAAAATACTATTCCAAAATCATTTTTTTTTTTTCAAATAATAGAGTTCAAACAAGGGTTATATAAAGCCTTTGGGTTCCATTTTAAAAGGTCAAGCCTTTGAACCCAAGCCTTTTAAGATGAGTAGTATATTTCTTCATAAGCTGTATATTTATCTCTTCTTTATTCAATATGGAATTTACTCTTACCAAGAAGCCTTATGTTATGATCCCTCAACCTCTTTCCGGGGTGTAAATATGTGTTGGTATACTATAAGTTGTATTCTTCTTTATTCATGGGAAGCACTTTTGTTATACTCGTATAACGTCTTTCTAGGAGTGTAAAAATGTGTCGGGGAAACTATAAATTGTATTTTCTCTTTGCATAGGAAACACTTTTTGCTCAACCCTATTTCTATGGGTTTAAAAATGTTCGAGAACGCTTTGGATACAGTTCAGCCAATCTAATCAGACCGTATTGTGGGTCGGCCCGACAGTACAGGCTTGCTGTCTGCCTAAACATTGCCTGCCTATCACGCATAGGAAAAAGGTTTTGATAGACCGGGGTGGACCTGCACAATACCGAGTCTTTTTCGGTGTAGTTCTTGACTCTTTATGAACTGCAGACTGTATACTTCTTATATGACTGTCTTTACCATTGTCGCTATTATTATTTATATAATGGCAGATAATTGTTATTGTATTAAGAAGTGTAATTTATTCTCTTGTTTCTTTAGGATGGCTCATCCTGGCCAAGGCCTTCCTTCTGCTCTCGTTGAAGATATGCTGGGATCAAATGATGATCAATTGAGAACACATGAAGGAGTTGTTTTGAACCTTTCTCGGAAACTTCTCCATAAAATGAGTGGTAATATTTGTTATATCAGAGAACAAAACACATCTTACTTCCTGGTTGGCCTTGACCTTCAAAGACAGAAATCAGGACAATGAAGTTAAATCTTATTCAAGAATAACTTCTTGCCTGTCCTGAATTTCAAATGGAACAGTTCTTTCGGCAGAAAAAATTGGGTGGCTTGAATATCCTTGCAGTTTCTGGTGATTTTGAAATCAATCATGCTCACCTTTCTTTGAAGGTGAATTTAACTATCAAAGTCTTACACTTGTACTGTGTAATTATGCACATATATCCCTTCTAGAAGTACATGGACGGTGTAGGATTCAGTGTGGAGACCACATAAAGTTATTGCATTTTTGTTCTAACTTGCTCTTGTTTTCGTTTTTCTTGTGTAAATTTTTTGATATGTAAATTCTGTACTAGACTTGGTTCAGTTTTCTTGTGTGTTCAATAAAGCATAAATTTCTCTTTTTTTGTTGGATTCAATTCTCCCTGAAAAATGATATTTTTGCCTTGGATTCACGTCCAATACATTTCGTGCTATTTGGTTAGAGGGAAAGATTTTAGTTTCCAATCTGCAAAAATACCAGAAAGACACAAAAATCTAGTGCACCTGTGAAGGTAGCCACAAAAATGCTGGCGACTTTCACCTTTTTTTCCCTTTCCTTTTGAACATAGATTAAACTGCATACCTTCCTAACCACCAAAATACCAAACAATGATGCAAAATCTATATATACGCTATATGTTTGGTTCATCTTATCTATTATCTGTACATCAGATATACGGGACAGCTAGTAGCACAACGTGCTCCTGTTTGGGTTCTCTCATGCTTCCCAGGGAATTCTCAGGGCTCGATCCATTTGGTTGGCTGACTTGTGTGTTCAAGCTACTGGACGGAGGATGTTCCTGGATGATCTGTACAACATGCCAATCCTTAGTTAACAGCTACAGTATCCTTATAACTTGAAACAGAAAGGAATCCAATCCGTCATGATACGGAATTCACTGCACAGCAGGTTTTGGTGAATAAGAAAACTGGGATAAAGTAAAATTTTGGGAAAGAATCAAAATATTTCTAATTCATAAAAGCATTATTTAAATCAAGATTGCATGGTGCAAGATTTCTAATATTAGCAATTCCTAATGTACTAAATGTTACAATACCTGATCCCGAGCCTTCTGAGTTAAACAGAATTGGCCTACAGCGCTTGTCTTTGTTCATCAAACTTGAATTCGGGAAGTGGGCAACAAGTGCCATTTTTACCTGAATTCAAGCATATGCCAAAGATGCAACTTTCTCACTGTTGAACTTCTCCCATCTTTTCCAATTGAACGCCTGCATGGCCAGAAGGATGAATGAGCTTTAGCCTTGTTAAGTTCTACATTGAATTTACTACTAATCAGCAATTTCACACGTGTGAAGTTTTACACTTACAACCCGTGTAACTTTCCTTATAGTATGTTATCTTGACCCTTAAAAAGTACTTTTCGACAATAATTTCTATCAACTTCTCATTCATGGTTTGCATAAGTGAATCAAGTTCGTATCTCAATCGATGGATGTACTCTTCAAAATTCCATAGCTTATAAGTAAATATCTGCACTGACTTTACCAATCTTTCATTGCAAAAAAAACTAAGTTGGTCCAAGAGATTTGCAAGTTGGTTGCTGGCATAGAGTTTCTCTATGGCCTCCTCAATTCGAGACATTCTGGCATCTGGGTCAACTCTGTTACTCTGGTAACAAAGCGTTCTTCCTTTTGGTGTCCTACCTCGAAGCATTTCAAGTAAAATAAGTTGAACAAAGAAAAGTATTATTAGCGTCTGATAGGTTAACAGACAGAACAAAATATGGAGAAAGATAATGTGCAAGCATTTATTCTTGTACTTCTAATAAGCCCGTCTCTTCACAGCTTAAATGCTTTACAAGGTTCCATTGCCCCTTTTCAAGTATAGGGGGTTTTTTCAATCGGGTTTTTTCAATCAAACGATCTCTCTGATCTGTCAATTTGAGTCCTAATTGGAAGCGGGTGAGAAAAGAAATCATGCCAAGCCTACTGTTAGCCACTTGAGATCAGAATTAGCCAAGGCATAAGCGTTGCCTTTGTTATGGAAACATTTTTTCTATAGCCACATTGAAGAAGAGCATAGGAGATGCCAACCATTGTATTTAGTCCTTGTTTTTTAAGAGTTCTCTCTGTCATGCAATGGTAAGTTGCAGCCGATGATTCTTAACCAATCTTAGTCATGGGCCGTAGTTTCATTTGCTTTAGACCTCTCTCTCATTCACCGACCACCGTCATATAAGACTTCAGTGGATATGCATGTCGATGAATCTCCAGTTACTCAAACCAACCACCTGTGTATATTTAACATAATCCTTTCAGCGTAGAATTATGCTCTGAGAAGAAGAAGAAACTTCCGCACAAGATTTGACACTTCCATACTGGATGTAGTTTCAGTCTCACTTTTTGGCACTTTCATTCAGCCAATCAAAGAAACAATAACTTTGAATTGTGAACAAAGGTTCCTCATGCTGGACCTTAAAACCAGCAGTTCAGGGGGGCAAGGTGCTTATATCCGGGTCCACCCGACTGTCAATGGTCCTGTGCTACCGGAAGTTTATAATTTGGGTCTGCAAATTTCACTAGTAGTCTCCCAAATACTATTCATCCCTTCCAAAACCAGCATCCGAATTAAAATCCTTAATATTCATGCTAATAATAATTACACAAGCAAATCCCATCCTTGAAGTGACATAAATGGCTAGAATCTATATGTACAGTTTCCCCCAGAGGTGAACAAAATGGCAGATCGACAATCTCCACACACTTGGGGATTCTTCATTACTGTTACCGTACTGCCCTCCACAGTACTAATTAAAGGAAAACATAAAGCAGGCCTCACTTTAATCTTCCATATCATAGAATTCAAATTTTTTATTGGGGGCATAACCATGTTCATTTTAACTTTTTTCCCAGTCAATCCAGCTTTCGTATATTTTCTTACCTCAAGGATAGGATTTATCCCCAGATATAAATGAATGCCAAGCTCACTTTTCAGTAACCCAACTGCAGCCTGGTTGTTTTATGCTGTCACTCCTTTTCATATTGCTTCTGATTCTCGAAACATCGGCCCATCTACCAGCAGATGCATAAATATTAGACAACAATACAGACGCTGCACTGCAATGTGGATCTATGTCTAAGATGTTTCTGCAAGCACGTTCAGCCACTTCCAAGTTTGAATGCATTCTGCAGCCATTAAGCAAAGTGAGCCATATCGACAAATTTGATTCTATAGGCATGGTTTTCACTAACTCCTCTGCTTCATCAAGCTTCCCATTTCGGCAAAGGACATCCACCATGCATGCATAGTGCTCAAGCTTTGTCTTGATAGCTGTACATTGACATAGATATTCAAAGAAGCATATTCCTTCTCGTAACATACCAGAGTGGCTACAAGCATTGAGCAACCCAGTGAATGTGATATCATCTGGATCAACTCTTGCTTTTACCATTTGGCTGAAGAGTGTCAGTGCCCCCTTGCCATATCCATGTTGCGCACATCCAACAATAATTGTGTTCCAGGACACAATATTCTTCTCAGCAATTTCATTGAATTTGCTCAATCCATTGCTGATATTTCCGCAAGCAGTATACAAAAGAACAAGAGTATTTCCCACATAGACGTCTCTCTCAAACCCTAGCTTGATGGCTGCACCATGAATCTCCTTGCCCCAGTCAATGGCCTTCATTTCACAGCACGAGTTCAAGGCACTGGTGAAAGAAGATTGGTTAGGAATAACTCCCATTCTAATCATATCACCAAAAACTTTCAATGCATCTTCATGCTTACTGTTAACACCATATCCCGTCAAAAGAGATGTCCATGTAACCACATTCATGTACAACTTCTCATCAAAAACCTTAAAGGAATTATTCATCTCTTTGCAGTTTGCATAAAGAGTAATTAGTGAAGCAATAACATACACATCAAAAACACAACCAAGCTTCATAACATGCCCATGAACTTGACTACCTAGGCATAATTCCCCAACATTAGCACAAGCTGTTATCGCACATGCAAAAGTACTTGAAGTAGGCCTCATCCCCAGCCCCACCATCTTCCAAAAAATTGATAAAGCCTCAGAACTCCTTCCATGTTGATCTAGCCCACTAATTATTGAAGTCCATGAGATCACATTCCTATTAGGCATAACATCAAACAACTTCAAAGCCTCCTCCATTCTGCCATTCTCAAAATACCCATGAACCATCGTGTTCCATGCTGCTATATCCCTCGCTGGCATCTCCTCAAACAACCCCTCAGCCTCTTCGACCCTCCCAAACTTTAATAACCCGTTCATCACCGTAGTCCAAGAAATCACATTCTTTTCGGGCATTTCACTGAAAAGCCTCAAACCCAACTCCAAATTCCCATAATCTATACACCCCTTTATCATTAAATTCCACAAGACTGTGTCTTTAACAGGCATTTTATCAAACAGTTTCAATGCTTCTTCCAGTCTACAATTTTCTACATAGCAAGAAATCATTTTTGTCAACAAACGGACATCAGGAGACGGAATTTTATCAAAAAGGGCTCGTGCTTCGTGCAATCTTTGGTTCTTTAAATGATCAGAGAGCACAGAAATGTAATTACCAGAGAATGTGGTACTACGTTTAAAATTTTCTGCAATGCCCACGAAAGATTTTGATTGTTTTGTAAGAGCGGTAGATAAATTCACAGTTTGAGTGGCGAGTGATTTGGGAAAAAGCTGGGATTTTTTGAATGCGGCGCGAAACGTTGTCATTTTGAGTCATCACGGCTACTACTTCGGCAAAGGGACAGAAGGCTAATGTCGTGCTGGTGCGAGGATGAGACTGTTGTGTAAGTGTGTTTGATTACTTTCTTCAAACAGTAAAAATTGCTTGTTTTAAAAGTAATTCTTGCCTTCTTCAATTTGGAAATGCATGCCTACTCCTCGTGGGATGGATGAAGTTGTGGTCGTCCATAATAAGATTTAGCCCATTAAAAGTTTACAATCAATTTTAATCACATATTTTATGTGATTCATAAATTTTTAATTATACATTTCATCAACATTTATCAAAATTCAATTTTAATCTCCATCAAATGTGGCTTACTATCATTATTGTAGCTAACTAATGGAGGCTGGTAATTATGACACAAGTGATACTAGTGGAGTTGGGAGAAAATTGAAAATGAAAATAGTACACATGCCATTTTCATGGTATTTTTTGACACGTTAATAACAAATAATTTATCATGTAGTGACCGAAACTCAAAACCCACTTTTATCTCACTTCAAAAGATTAAAAGTAGCATTGCAATAGCACAATTTGAGATCTAAAGCTCTTCCATCATTATTACTCTTTAAAAGGGTTTTTCACTATTGACAGCACCACCTACCATACTGCCAATTATGAAAGGACAAGTGTCACATTTGACGTCAACACTTTCTACTCTACCAATCAGAAGAAGTAATGATTGTCTACGTAACAAATAATTGTAACTCAGACACTAACTACATCATAAGTGAAATGATGACTTGAGTTGTCAACCTCAATAATCAATATAATCCCTTCAATAAGAATGGTGACACACATATAGTGGTCGACACTGTAGCTTGAAATGGCAGGGAACACTAAGGGGCAAACTAAGGTAGCATATTAATTACAACATTCTCCCAAAGAAAATCAATCTCCAGTGAACATCTCATTTAGCACAATAATCCTATCAGTTGTTCCAAAATAAAATACAAACAAGTTGATCTAATCATGCCGCTTCATTTTTAATCCTCAACAATAATAATTTGGAAAATGCTATGGGTACACAATGACCCCTATGGGTACACTTATGTACCCATAGCACAACCCTAATAATTTTTAGTATTGTACTAAATTATATACCACGCAAAATTTATACCATTATTACATTCAAACAGGTTATATCAATATTAAATTGAAAACATTTTAAAATTAAAAAATGGCAAATATTAATAGAACAATTGCCAGGTTATTTTGTTAAATACCTTTACTAATTTTTTCCAGGAAATATTTGAATATAGATTCTAAATCTTGAAATCAAACTAAGTCCATGTTTGATTTTGCTAAAATTCAGATTTTTAGTAAATTTTGATAAAAAAAGAAGAAGTTAGAATATCAAACATGCACAATTCGTGTCTTTGTTTGGTCTGTCTTAGCTTTGAAATTTTTATTTCACTTTCCCGATTTGTTGCTCCTGTTGGAGAGAGTTGCAGCGGAAGATCAACAGTCATGAGTCTAAAAGAGAGATTCTACAATCTAGACTTGAGCCAAATATATAGGACGAGTAGAAATTCGAAGATTCAAGATCAGTTAGTTGAGACAACAAATGGGATTGGTGAGCCAAGAATCAGTTCTCTTCACCGAAAGTATATTGGGGCAAAAAAGGCGACGTGATAGAAGAGGAAATCACCGAAACCACAAAAGCCAGCAATGCGCACTACTGGATGTCGGATTGCCCAATGGTTATGACACTTCTGTCGGAGAAAGAGTGGTCCAATTATGTGGTGGACAAAAACAAGGAATTGTCATTGCCATTGCCATTGCCATTGCCATTGCCATTGCCAGAGCAATCTCAAAGGATCTGAAAAACCTTTTATTTGATGAAGCAACTAATGCATTAGACAAAGAATCTGAATGTATAGCACGAAAGCATTAGATAAAGCAATGATGAATAGAACTACAATCATAGGTTAACAATTACAGGTACAAACATATCACTGCCAATGTGAAAGTACGGAGTTACGGTTAGAAATTTAATAAAACTTTAAATTCTAAAGAACTTTAAAACATAATTGATTTATTGTCAAGATCCTCCACGTCAAATTACCAAGCGAATTATGAATTGCGAAACATACCTTAATTCATTGAGAATAATTTTTTAATACCAGATCTTGATTCTGTATCTTGAATCTTGAATATTGGCTCTTTTGATTCTTGAGTTCTNAACATTTTAAAATTAAAAAATGGCAAATATTAATAGAACAATTGCCAGGTTATTTTGTTAAATACCTTTACTAATTTTTTCCAGGAAATATTTGAATATAGATTCTAAATCTTGAAATCAAACTAAGTCCATGTTTGATTTTGCTAAAATTCAGATTTTTAGTAAATTTTGATAAAAAAAGAAGAAGTTAGAATATCAAACATGCACAATTCGTGTCTTTGTTTGGTCTGTCTTAGCTTTGAAATTTTTATTTCACTTTCCCGATTTGTTGCTCCTGTTGGAGAGAGTTGCAGCGGAAGATCAACAGTCATGAGTCTAAAAGAGAGATTCTACAATCTAGACTTGAGCCAAATATATTGGACGAGTAGAAATTCGAAGATTCAAGATCAGTTAGTTGAGACAACAAATGGGATTGGTGAGCCAAGAATCAGTTCTCTTCACCGAAAGTATATTGGGGCAAAAAAGGCGACGTGATAGAAGAGGAAATCACCGAAACCACAAAAGCCGGCAATGCGCACTACTGGATGTCGGATTGTCCAATGGTTATGACACTTCTGTCGGAGAAAGAGTGGTCCAATTATGTGGTGGACAAAAACAAGGAATTGTCATTGCCATTGCCATTGCCATTGCCATTGCCATTGCTAGAGCAATCTCAAAGGATCTGAAAAACCTTTTATTTGATGAAGCAACTAATGCATTAGACAAAGAATCTGAATGTATAGCACGAAAGCATTAGATAAAGCAATGATGAATAGAACTACAATCATAGGTTAACAATTACAGGTACAAACATATCACTGCCATTGTGAAAGTACGGAGTTACGGTTAGAATTTTAATAAAACTTTAAATTCTAAAGAACTTTAAAACATAATTGATTTATTGTCAAGATCCTCCACGTCAAATTACCAAGCGAATTATGAATTGCGAAACATACCTTAATTCATTGAGAATAATTTTTTAATACCAGATCTTGATTCTGTATCTTGAATCTTGAATATTGGCTCTTTTGATTCTTGAGTTCTATATCTTGATTTTGACTTCGTGCTCCATAATTTTGATTGTTTTGTTCTTCAATTTGATTCTTGATTATGGATTCTTAAATTCTTGTTCTTGTTTTTGATTGTGAGTTTTGGTCCTTTTGGATCTTTCTCTTCAATATATTTTATCTTGTATTTTTGTGTTTATATGATGAGAATCATATATGAATTGGGGATTATGACCCTTTTTATATTGGGAAAAATTCAAAAGTCAGGGATTATGCAGGACACAATTCAATTTTCAGGTATCAAGTTTCAAAATTCAAATTGCAAAACTCAGGTATTAGCTAATTAATTAAATATAATAAAGTCACAATTATACAATTAATGATCACATATATATAATTATAGGCCCCAACTGATTTACTGATAACATATTATCAAATTAATTGGTCACGGATTATTTCGAGGTCACAAATCAAAAAAATTATAGGTCACAACAAATCAAAAAAATTACAGGTCAAAGTTTATCTATCGGTCACAGATTTTCAAATTTTTTGGTCACAAGTTTTCAAATTTTAAGGTCACGATTTAATACTTGGTTACATATAACCAAATAATTGGTCACATGCCTGCTATCGCCGCAGCACCACTACACCACCACATAAAAATCGCAGCCAGATCCACCATCGCCATTGCCATTGCCATTGCCATTGCCATTGCCATTGCCGCCGCCACCACCACCTTACCATCACCGCCAGCAGCTCCATCACCACATACATCGTCGCTGCATCATGCTCCAACAACCACCACAACCTACCACCACCCCCACCACCACCACCACCACCACCTCCAATCAACCATCGCCGCCTGCTAAAATCTACCATCTCTCCCAACACTACCACACCACACCACAGCCACCACCTCACCAACAAAAACATCAAGTCTGCCACTGCAACCAACATAACCACCATCTCTCCTGTGACCACAACCACCAGTTTTACCAAACAATCTCCAAATCGTCGCCGCCACCAAACTGCACGATACCACCGCCCACATCAACGATTCACCACAACCTCCTCAGATAGGAAAGACAAAGAAAAAAACCCCAAACCCCCTCCCCACCCCCTCACAGTCAGCTCTGAAGGACTGCAACATCAAGAATCTGCATTCGCAGCAGCGTCACGACGCTGCGTTGACGGACTGCAAAAATCATTCGTTGCCTGAGTGAGTGAACATTGTCGACTGGGAGATCGAAGAGCGCTGGATCCATCGAGTGAGGTTGCTTCAGAGGAGTAGAGAGAGAGAGAAGATAAACAGAATCGTCGCCAGTGAGGTTGCTTCAGAGCGTCGTCGCTATCATGAACGATGCTGACGGTGGCGACGAAACTGGTGGTGTCTGTGATAGAGAGACGAGAGAATATAGAGAGAGAAGGAAGATGATAAGAAGAGAAGAGGGAGATGAAAAATGAAACGGTTTGTATTATATTATTTTCTTATCAAATGAAAGTGAAAACAAAGTAAAATACAAAATCAGTGTGCAGCTTTTATCCCTTAGGTGATGAATAAAATTGGAATTCACATTGTAGAGATAGAATATACATATTGAATAGTAAATCATAAATAAATCTTACAAGAATGGTGGGGCAACGCCGTTGATGAATCCAACCCCAAAGAAAAATAGCTCAACTGATCCATATATACCACAAAAGGTGTAGGAAAAAATTCAAATGTCCCCACTAATCAAATTCAACGACTTGCATTCTATCTTTTCCTTTGATAACAAACTCTGCAATTAAATCGGCCACAAATTTGAAAATAAATCAGCACAAACTGGCCCTAAAACAAAGACAACCGAGATAGCAAGGGAGAGAAGAAGAAAGTGTCGAGGAAGCAAAGCGAAGATCTGGTAGTGGAAGTTTTGGTCGGATTTATGGTTTCTGGTTTGAGGTTTTCTGTGGTTTTGGTTTGGGGGTATTGAGCGTATTATTTACGATTAAATGATTTTATTTAGTTTCGGGGTAGTTTTCCAATTTGTCATTTTTAGAGGGTAGTGGGCCTAATTACCTCTATACACAATTAATTACATATGTCGCCCCATATGACGAATTAATATTTTTCCCAATAGTTATTGTAGGGATGGGACGACGTGAAGGAGCCTGGGTGTCGGCAGTTGCACATCACACCAACTTGAACTCAAATATTCGATTCAAGAGTTTCTTATTTTTTTTCTTCTTACCTCTAATTCTACAATGCAGTGTCCCGATAATGTACAATTGAAAAAGTGGTGATTATTATAACGATCATGATGTATGTACATCTTGTTTTATATCATTTTTTACATTGTGTCACGTGTCGACACATGATTGAATACTTTTTAAGAACAATATACTTTCTCGTCTAACACTTTTTGAATTTGCACACAATGATGTAACCCGTGCAAAGTTTATTATAAACATATTTTATTTCATTTAAATTAAATTAATATTTCTATTTAAAATAAACTGAACATCCACGTACATGTATTGGCTTTGGCTGTGGACAAGAATGGGTGCGCCCTCATAAGGGTTCGTAGTGTACAAAGTAGAAACCATCGTATCTAAGTAACAAAATAAAAGACAACCAAAAAGTCGAGAAAACAATTATTAAAGAGATCAAGAAAAAAGAATGGTTGAAGAAACTGAAAAATCATCGACCAATCCCAGCAAAGGGGAAGCAGAAAAATCTTCATCATCAACGTTGACAGTTATGAATGTTAACAACGGAGGAGGAGACGAATCAGAGGCGGAAGAGGGGGAGATCGTCGGTGGCGGGTCAGACAATGATGCGGCGGCTAAGGACATAGCAGTGCCGCCGGTGGTAAAGCACCCATTGGAGCACTCGTGGACGTTCTGGTTCGACAATCCGTCGGCCAAACATAAACAGGCGGCGTGGGGCAGTTCAATGCGCCCGGTTTATACCTTCTCCACAGTTGAAGACTTCTGGAGGTACCCAGTTTTCCTGAATCTATGTATTACTTATATTTTTGTATGTCTTCCTATGATTTAATTTTTGTGGGTTATGAGGCTTATTGAGTTTATTTCTTGCTCGACTTTCTTTTTCATTTTCCGTCTAATCTTAAAGGGTTAGGGTTGTCGAGTTGTCCTCTTTTTCTTTCTGTCTGTTGCAAAATGTACGAGTACATGAGTTAGGGATATTATACGGATTTGTGTTTGTGAAAATGGCCTTGGAGTTTGGTGTTTTTAGTTGATCGTATGCTCCTTTTTTAGGGATTTGAATTTGAATGTCAGTTTATTTGTAAGTGTTGTATATCTGTATTTGTAGATTTAATGTGTACTTTTTTGGGAATTTGATGGTGCTTCTCCCGGAGTGTGGCTTGCTTTCTTGGATTTATATATTTTGGAAAAATTCTTTTTTTTTTCTCTGCGAGCAAAAAATGGATGAAAGCTGTGATAAATTAAGTGAAAGGAGAATAGATATCTAGAGGGATATTGAAGTGTGAATGCAGATCAGGAGTTGTTAATTTTATTGCTACATTTCTCAGGGGTGGAGAAAAAGTTGGAAAATGCAGCTGATTTTTAGAGAAATCAAGATATAGAAACTGTTGCCAAGTTTAATATTCCCCCTGTTTGTTTCCCCCCATTGTGGGGGTGGGGATGAGAGCAGAGATCTTTCCCCCCCTGAATCTGTACTCGTAATCAATAGAATCATAAACCTGACCTTACCATTTTGTAGCTAATTTTGTAGTTTATATTATCATTTTTCTTTGAAACAACCTCAAGTCTATATTTTATTTTATTATTGTTATTATTATCATAGTTTCAATGCCGAAATAAGAACTTCTTGTCTACGACTTACAATTGGCCATGTAAATTCCACCCCCCATCCCCTCTCCCTATACTTGCCTTTATGAACACATTTTTTTTCTGCAATGTTGTAGTATCATACGTCAGTTGTTATCACTTTATGCTTTTATTTTATTCATTAAACCTTAACTTTGCATGGCTTGCAGCGTATACAATAACATTAACCATCCAAGCAAGTTGGCAGTTGGAGCGGACTTCCACTGTTTCAAGGATAAAATTGAGCCAAAATGGGAAGATCCTGTTTGTGCCAATGGGGGAAAGTGGACTATGGCTTTTGATAGGGGTGAATCTGATACATGTTGGCTCTACACGGTATATTAAAATGTATTCTGTTCAACTTGTAAATCTCTTAATATTATTGTCCGACTAATTTTCCATATGAATTTTATATTAGCTGCTGGCAATGATTGGAGAACAATTTGATTATGGAGATGAAATCTGTGGAGCAGTTGTCAATGTCAGAGGGAAGCAGGAAAAAATTGCTTTATGGACCAAGAATGCTGCCAATGAAGCTGCTCAGGTGATTTGTTTTGAGCAAATAACTGAAGCTATTCTTACTAGATTTTGCGATATGTAGTAGACCATTTGCCTTTCCTTAAACATTATTTAAGACTTGTCTCTCAGGGCATTTAATGGTTTGTTTTCATGATATTAATAATGAAACTATGCACGTGACGGTGGATTTGGTGAAGAGTAAAGGGCGATGACCACTCTCCTAAACTTCTAACAACCTTTCTGAAATTTTCTTCTATATATATAACTGACAGATGATTTTCACTATCTCAATTCAGGAACATGCTGCTTAATACTAATCATTTCTTTAAGTTCTAAGACACGTGCTTATGAGGGAGCAAGACATTGTGTAATCATTGAAGGGATTCCCATTTTAGAAAGGTCGCTGAATTATATTACGAGCATGTTTGTTGCATAGTATTATGTAGAATTGGCAGTATGATAAACAATATTTACAGCCTGTCTGTTTTCCATTTTGCTGCCCATTTTCAGAAAAAATATGACCGTTGGGCACCGTCATTTTTGACTTTTATCACACAAAAGCCTTGAAAAGTGGTCCTCCAACGGCTACAAATTTCATTTTTTGGGATGAATAATCTGCCCCAAACAGATTCTTAGCTTATTTGTATTCTCTAAATTGTTTAGTACTATCTAATCTTCCCTAACAAACATCCCATAAAGGTGCTTGCACTAGAAAAGCATCTCAGTTCTTCGTGAGGATCTATTGAACTTTGTCGACTTCTTGCGAAGAAAAATTCTGGAAGGCATTCATGATGACTTTTAGTTGGATGGTAAAGTGTATAGTTTTCTATGGACGTTCTATTTGCTAGTTTGAAAAATCAATACCTACCTGTGTGAAACGGTTGTTCTGATTTTGATTCCATCCTTCAGCCTTTGACGTTGGTGGCTGAGTAGTGACTTCTGACTAATCTACCAGAGTATGAATTTGAATGGATTACCAACTAAAACAAGTGTTTAAGGAATTGATTTTACTCTTGCCTTTTTGGGTATCTCTGCAAACTTTGCTTTCTTATGCCTACCTCTACTTAATATCGTTGGAAGTATTTTTTTTTTTTTTTTCAGCTGAGCATTGGAAGACAATGGAAGGAGTTTCTAGATTATAAAGTCACAATTGGGTTCATATTTCATGTAAGGATTCCTTTTTTTTTT